TGTCAAATAAAAGTTTTCATAACAAACACATTTCTGTCAGAGACTCAACCAATTAGAGCCTGAACAATATTTAGATCTTTATCAATATATAATATGAGTCAGGCTCAAATCTGGAACACATGTTTTCCATGAAACTTTTCTTGCAGGAAATTAAAATGCTTTAAAATTGGAAACACAGTGAATCCATCAAACTGAAAATGTTTCACCAAACTTATTCTTTATCAATTGTTTCAATGAAAAACACATTCCAGTAAAATATCTGTAAAATATAATCAAAGAGTCACTAACGTGTTTCTTTCAGAATCTGTGTTTATGAACTCGCAGTAAATAACGTGTCTTCGTCTCCGTTGACTGACACGATGCTGTCGATATAAAGTTGTGTCGTTGTGATGGTGCGGCTCAGCGACCTGTAGTAACCTCCACGTCAGAGATCACATGTCACACAATAAACCATCAACGCAACAAAATTCAAATACGTTTTGCAGACGTGTGTTTTTGTGTAGAAGAAAACGTGTTTATTTGGGTGACGAGGAAATCAAACTTTAAAATGAGGTCAGAATAATTGAACCTGTTCCCACCTCGTGTTTCATGTTTGAGATCGTTCGAATTTTATCTGCGGACGTTTGTGACGTTTGTCACAGAGAGAAATGTTTCTGATCCACATGTGCTGCGTTCAAGTGCTGTCGGAAAAACTCTGATATCCGGCCTTTGATCTAAGATCTTATGAAATTTGACAATATTCTGATATTTCACCTGAGTCTGTAAAATAAGTGGTAAATACTTGAATTTCTAAAGAGAAAATTAAAATAAGTATGAAATGAAAGTGTCCATCACACTGTAGAAGATCTTCCGGTTCATTCGGCTGCTAAACAAACAATTAATGAAAATGATCTGACAACACTTCACCTCAAAAACCACGATGACGTGTTGAAATGTGACAGAAACTGTTTGTGGAATTTAAATTGCAGCTTCATCCTTAAACTAGAAAAACATTTTACATTTAACCGTCTGTCCTTCACAGTGCGACATGATCCACGTTAAACACACGCACACACACTGAATAATAACAGTACACAAGTTAGAAGCTTTACCTCCATCCTGCTCGTCAACTCTGTGGCCTCGTTTGTCAAGTGTGTGTGAAAGAGAGAGAGCGCGAGCGAGCGAGCAGGCCTGCAGGTTAAATATAGAACCAGAGTCACTACAGAGAGAGAGAGAGAGAGAGAGAATGAGAGAGAGAGAGAGATACAAATACACGGGGGGGGGGCATTCAAATACACAGAGAGAGAGAGAGAGAGAGAGAGAGAGAGAGAGAGAGAGAGAGAGAGGTGCAGCTCATGTTCCGTCACATGTGGATCATTTCTCTCTGTGTTGATCTACAGCTTCATGTTTATTCAACTAACTCATTCAATTTAAAAAGTATAATTTATTTATTTTAGGTCAATTTAATGAATTCATTCCAGTTCACTTCAACATGATGTAGTTCAGTTGGATCCATTAAATATATCTCAAGATTCTGATCCTCAGATTTTCTCTCTATAGACCAGAATGCACTGCAGGTGTTTTATATGAACATCTCAGAGTTCGGAGCAGAAACTTTAAGAGCTGCAGCTCTTTGAACGCTCTCACTCATCAAGGGACACAAAGAGGAACCTGCTGCTCGTTGTTGTCTTCGGTTTTCTGGAGGAAGTTGAGTCACACGAGCAGAAAGAAAATATCTTCTTTCATTTCTTCTTTTTGTTTCTTCACTTCTGCCTCTTCACCACCTCGGTGCTCGTTGCTTAAACGACAGAACCTCAAACCGACATTCATGGTGAATCACAGGGATGAAGGAGGACACAAAAACATGAAGGACTTTTTTTACTCTTGTTTTCTGGATCTGAAACTGTTTTTCAAGATTCACAAACCACCTGAACACGATGAAAACATCTAATGTCAAAACAACGAAGCGTCAGTTTGTCTTTTGACCAAACGGCTTCGAGCTGAAACACAGGACGTGGTTGGAGGAGAGAAGACCCGGAAAAACAGCGGCTGCATTATGAAGGAGAAAACCTTATAAGGTTTGGTGAACGCCACCGGAAATGTGAACAGAAGTGTTACGCAACATTGCGGCTTCTGTGAACGTTAAAAAAAAAAACAACTGTGTCCCAGAAAAAACCCCGACAACTTTTCAAACCCTCTATCGTCAGATTCATGTAGAAAGAAATGAGAAATATTATCATGTGTGAAAGATGAAGGAAGAAGATGAAGTTTAAATAATGTCTGAGATTTTTACGACACTGAAATAAAAGAATAATTTATTATTGATCCACATGAAACAGAAAAAAGTCAAATACGTTGACGTGTTGCTGTGAATCTCTGATATTTAAAACACTGAGTTTGTTTCTCATCCACAGATGAAGAATTAAAACTAAATTTAAACTCAGATTAAAATAAAATGTTTCTTCTCTTCAGCCTGTTGTTAAAGATCTGCGGCTCTGTGCTGCCACCCGGTGGTTACATGCCTTCCTCTTCATGAGAGTGAACTTTAATCATGTTTGTTTTGACTTTGAACCTTTTTTCTTTCTGACCTGTGAGAACTGTGTAGTTTATTGCATTGTGGGTAATGAAGTTCTCTCGCTGACAGCTGGTTTCTTAAAACAAACAGTTTGACATTCATCTTTGTTCAGAATAAATAAAGTTAACTTTATTTAAACTTCACATCCTGCCTCACACACACAAGTTGATTTATTACCGTGTGTAACAATAAAAATCCTACATTTCTTCTACAGGTGAAAATCAAACAGTGAAAATAAATTAAACAAAATCACGTCAGTCTCTGTTTTCATGGTGGTGATGTCACTGTTTGAAATCTCTCTTTATATTCTTCATGTGAAACATGATCACTAACAGTCAATAAAGACGATGACACGTCTCCACTTCCTCCTGTTGAACAAAAATGAAACCACAATGTCTCAGATATGAACGCCGCCATCTTGTGGTGATTTATTTAACGTCTACTCTTTTAGTCTGATCCATGTCCCATCTGCTAACATGGAGGAGGGGTTTCAGTGATCCGGATGATTTGGCTTCACTATTGGGAGTCGTCAAGTCCTTCGTCTTTATTCACAATCAGCACCATCCTGAAAAAAACTGAGCGTTTCATCTGCTAAACCTTTAAATCCACTCTGATGTGTAAATATGAAAAAAGAAAAGAAGATGGAAAAGTCTCTCAACTGTTTTATTTGACTGTCTTCATCAGTCCTCCTCAAACTCATCCATCTTCATGTCTGAATCTGATCTCTACTCAGTGTAACGGAGAGCAAAGATCAAACTAGGTCCGAAAAGCAGACGAGTGAAGTTTCCTCTGATGAAGGTTAGAGTCTCGTCGTGACTCCGCAGCAGGTTTGTGGGATTTTTCCTGGAACTGAGAATCAATGACGTCCCTGCTTCTTCTTAAAGATCTTATTGAACGTGTTTCTCTTCCGGCTGCTGGACGACTCATCGCCTCTGTCCTCCTCCACCGGGCTTCTCCTGGTCAGGAACTGGGGGCCCGACGAGCAGGGCGAGGCAGAGGAGGAGGCGACGTGACGGTCTGGCGTGATGCAGAGGGAGTGGGTGGAGCAGGAGGAGGCGAGGACGGGGGCAGGACTGCCCCTCAGCTCCCCGAGGCTGGAGCTCTTCTCCAAGCCTCCAACGAGCCCAGAACCCTGACCCTGCAGGGGGTGGGGCCCAGAGGGCAGGAGGAGGGGCTTGAGGCTGTACAGACCTCGTGATTCGCCAGGAGAGAGTGGGAGGGAGGAGTCAGAGTCTGAGCGGTTCATAATGTCCCTGACGAAGGAAGAGAGAATAATGTCGTTAACAGATTCTGATGTAACATGTTGGTTCCAGTTTAAGTTCGTACAGACACTCGACTCTTCAGGCTGAACACAGAGCGCTAAATGCTAACATTAGTCAGATAGCATGCTAGAACTGTCTTAGCCCTGAAGCTAGAAACAGTCGATTCATCTTCCATCAAACTCTGTGAGATATTTCTGTCATCCGATAACAAAAGTCCAACAAGACGGAAAAACTTCAGCATTAAGGAGAAAGTTAGAAGAAAAGATGTCAGAGGTTTAGATGAAATGTGGCGTTAATGATATAATGACATTTTTTTCTTCCAATATTTTGAAAATAAGAAAAAAACGATGAAACAGACAAAAGATTTAAAACAGTTGTTGAACATAAATTAAGATCAAATCAAATGTTTCATGAGTGACGTCACTGATTTTAGTTTCCCGTCTTTTTAGTTGGTCAGTAACATTGGACAAGTCGTGCAGAGAGAAGATACCCGAAGCTGCCGGAGCGACAGCGTTGCATCTGGTTCGTTATAGCTCCCCCTGCAGGCGAGAGGCTGGACGTCGCCTCCAGAGAGTGGAAGTAAGAAGATCGAAAGAGCAGAGCAGAAATGTGGGCGGTGCTCTCGGTGTACGAGGAGGAGGAGTCGGAGTTAGCAGGAGGACAGAAGGAGAGGAGGGGGAGGGGAGGAGGAGAGGGAGGGCTGATAGAGGGGTGAGACAGGGAGGAAGAGAGAGAGGGCGACGGTACAGGGAGGAACTCCAGCTGGCCAATAGAGCGGCTGCGATTCTGCCGGGCGTGGCCTATGGGAGGGCGGGTGGAAGTGGGTAGACCACACCCATCTTGTATAGGTAAGCCCCGCCCTTCAACCAACCTCTGAGAGCTGAACATCAGAGCGGGGTCTCCCGTCCGCTGTCGCAAGGGCATCAGACTCTGAGCTGCAGGAGAGTAGAACAAGTTTTAATTTGAAAGTCACTTCAAGGGAAGTTTGGCTTACAAACAGGAAGCAGTTTTTTTTCTCTGCATTAGGAGAAAGTGAAGCTCAGAGACGAATCAGCTTCTGACGTTTGAACGTGTTTTAAAAACAAGACAGTTTATGATAAAATATCCAGAAACGTTTTCTGCTCAGAGGATTTTTTCTCTTTTTAAAATCGGTGCTGATTTTTGTTTAAATCTGTCGAAGCTGAAACGTTTGAGCTGAGAACCTGTGAACGACGTTAGTGAAGAGAAACGCGTTAATGCAGGTGGTGATGAGTGAAGCAGAGGAGAAGCTCCGCCCAGCTTCGTCTGGTGCGACCACGCCGAGGGAGGAAGAGGAGGAGCCGTTCAGGTGAGGAGGCGTTCAGGTGCACACCTGCTGTCGTACATTTAACAATGTCAGCTGCTTTGTTCAGTGATTTTCAAAATAAATTTAGTTATTTCACATCTGATCTTCGACTTTTCTCAGAAGCTCACGTGAACACCACCTGTGATTGGTTCATTCCTCCGTTTGTTTATGAACATTTTGATTTCATGGATCATTGAATCAAATTAAATTTAAAGAAATTCAGAGATGATCAAGTTCAAAATGATCCTGGTCGTTTTGTTTCCTAAACAAACTCAAGAATAATAAAATAAAAAAATAGTTCTATGATTATATATGTTGATGAGGAAGATTCATATTTATAAAATATTTAAAATGTGACGACAGCAGCTGTGCAGGACTGAATGAAGGAAGGTTATTGAAACATATAAAAGAATAAAACATTTGCTTCCGTAAATATTAAAGACTAGAAATCTATCGTACTTTTTTTGTTTTCCTTTAATCAATTAAGATTTTTTTTTTCAAATATTTCTAATTTCCAGGTTTTGACTGAGAGCGGAAATCAAAGTTAAAGAGGTATGAACCAATCAGAGAGGGGCATGTGGGAAGGGGGAGGGGCCAACCAGAATGTTTCCATGACGACTGTGAATCTGCGATGCCACTCAGGGGCCAGAGGTCGCTCACTCGCCGGTCCATCTGCCACGCTGCATCTGGAGGGAGCCAATCGAGAGAGAGAGACGCCAAGAAAGGAGGAACCAATGACAGGGGGGCGGAGACAACAGGAAAAGAGTTAAAGGGTAAATCGACAGACTTTATTTCTCCTTCCTGTCGGTGGGAGGTTCCTCTGGGCCTCATCACTACGGTAACACACGTGGAGGAATCTGCCGCTGAAAATAGTCCCCAACAAACTCACTGTTTCCTCCTGTTTGATAAAAACTAAAGTTTCTACGTTTCCTTCAAAGTTTTATTTTAGATTTTACATTTTCAAACCACAGACTGAAAATAAAGACGACCCCACCGCCTGTAAAATATCTCAGATACAAACGCTGCCATCTTGTGGTGATGACATCATTTGCAGTCGAAGTCTGTGCAGTAGTGATCGTGGGGTGGAGCCACAGTATGGAGGCCCCACCCACAATGCTCTCAACATCGACACTTGAACAATCGTGTGTATTTATTTCCACCAGGGGGCGATCCAGGTGATTGGCTCCACCTGCTGCTCGCTGTGTCGTCTGATCACATCTGAATTTCAACGTTTGTCAGGAACTAATTAACTAACAAGTAAATGTAGACTCACACTGCAGCGTCCCAGGAGACAGGATGTCCTCATCCATGTCGTCGAGGTCGTCAGAGAGCAGGAGGTGCTGCGGGGTCGGAGGTCGCAGGCCGAGGATGGACGGGTCCAGGTTGAGGGCGGCTGCCAGCGCTCCGAGTCCCGGGTTGTTGACCAAAGAGAAACCAGTGAGAGACTCGATCTGCTGCCAGCGGTGGAGTTTCTCCCGCAACGCGGCCGTCACCTCCGCCAGCGCCTGTCTGAGAGAGGGGTTCCACCTAACTGAAGTACTCGACAGTTTTATCTGACAACAAAAAGTAACGACCTGAGACGTTTTAAATGAGTTCACAGGTTTAATCTTTTAGAATTCATATAAAAACACTGAATATAAACTGTACAAATATAAAGTAGAAGACTGTGAGAACTGCACTTAGTTACGTTACAGCTCCGGACATGTCCAGGGTCAAAGGTCACTCACTTGGCCGACAAGATCTTGTGGTCGACGTCGTCCAGTGACGAGCTGTGAGCGACGTGAAACGTCCCGAACAGAGAACTCCTCTTCTTCTTGATCTTCTCTGCCTGAAACGATAAATCTTCATTGGTGAGTGAGTGAGTGAGTG